GTGGGGGATACGCCCCTTCCACCGATAGAGAGCGAGAGAGATACGGGTAGAGAGTGGCGAGGGAGTTTTCTGAAATAGAAATTAGGGCTTTCATTTTAAGGTGAGGTGGGGTGGGGTGGGGTGGGGTGTATATAATTTAATTTTTATAATATTATTATTAATATTTAATTAAATATTAAAAACATGTATCTATATATAAAATATCTGATTTTTGAACATTAAAACTTAAAATCTGATTTTTGAACTTGGATCTTGAAAAGTAGGGATACCTTCAATTGGATGTGGACTTTAAGCTGTGGGCTGCTCTTAGGTTACTAAAGTGTAAACTATTAGATAAAAAATAAATCCAAAATTTTGATAAAATATATATGAGAATTTATAATTAATAAAATATTTTTTAATTAAAAAAAGTGCAGTGCGGTTCGGTTCGGTTCGGTTTTGTGCGGTTTTTGAAAATCGAAACATAAACCAAACCATTTTGAAACAGTTTGGTTCGGTTTGAGGGAAAAAAACTGCGGATTCACGTGGACCCAAACCAACAGTTTCAGTTCGGTTTGCGGTTTCACATTTTTTTTGTGCAGCCCTAGTTGTCATGTTCTCAAACATGCTTGTTTTCTTGTTAGAAATTGATATTTATGTGAATATATTGCCTATCTGAGCTTTATTTTTCTCAAAAATAATTTTTTTAAAAAAAATTCATTTATAACTATACGTTTTTTCCAAAAAATCACTATTTCAAAAATGTGAGACAAGCAGGGGTATTATGTTTTTACATTTTTAGTTTATCTGAGTTTTACATGTTACATCATGCTTCATTTAACACTTAAATTGTGCTTTATACTTAATACAATTATATTGCAATAGAATTTTATTTTATTTTTTAATGTGGCAACGCATTATTGGTCTGCACTAATGTGTCAAACTATGTTTTTATACATTGCTAGGGAGTCGTGCGTGTCACAGTATAATTGGCTACGTAATAATATAAATATAAAAAAATTATTTATATTAAGTATTAGTTACCTCAAACATAAGCATATCATATGTTGCTAAATGTTTAATCCTTTCCACGTTGGAGAAAATTTGTCATATCTCACGTGATAGTGAAATGTAAATATAGAGGGGAGAATTTAGAACATATCTCCAACAGTGATAATCTGTTAATAGATGTGTCTACATGGAAGACAGTAAAAATGAGCTAGCCAGTTAAATCACTCCAAATAATAACTCCCTCGCCAACTCATCGCCAAATCAACAAAAACCCCTTACATGACTTTGAATTAAAACACACTTGGAATTAAAACAAACCCTTAAATCAATCGTTCTATCCTGCGATCCAAAAATTCACCTCAAGAACCAATGGCGAATTCAGGATATTGAGTGAGTTAGGGTGGTCATTAACTGTTGAAGTCGCAATATTAAGATTATTTATTAATATTTTAGTAAATAATATTTAAAAAATTTATGTAAAAGTCATATACATTTAAAAATATAATTCAATACAACTCAAAATAATAAGAAAAAATACATTTTTTAATCATGTATGTATGATCAAGTTTCATTTTTTTACGAACTTAAACGAGACAACATGAAGTTTATACGTAAAGCACGATTGAACGGTAAATACACACTCCAAGCTTAGGCGAAAGTTATGCAAAAATTTTAAAACAATGATTTTTAGAATTAGAACAAATTTTGACCCTAAAAAACGGTAATTTTCGAACTCTTAAAAGAATTAAGAGCAGTTCTTAGATTATTCGAATTTGAATTTTAAACTTAATAATAAAAATATCTATATTATGAAGCAATAATTCGAATCAATAATTTTTTTAAAGAAATTATTTCGAAAACAAAAACTAATAATAAATAATTGCTAAGTTATTATCCATTATATAAAAAAATTAAACAAAAAAGTGGATGCACATGGAATTGAACCTATGTATCTTGAATGCAAAAGCGACCACACGACCACACGATTTATGTTAATTTTTTCCCCGACGGATCCAGCAAGGGCAATCGTGCCAACTCGTCGGGTGCTAGATCTGTCCATGTCTAAAACCCTAACCCCCAAAATCGATTCAATTGACGAGCAGAGTGTAAGAATCCCCAAAATCAAACATGTATGATACAGTAATCAAGTATACATTGTATCGCGATCATGGTTTGAACTTAATTAAAGGTAAATTTCGTTCGTTGCCTTGTGATTCTGAATACGATCTCGTTGGAATGAACCGTTGGTGATTTCGTCCCATTTTGTTTGCAAAAACTTCACAAATTGATTTTGGACTTCAGTTGAAGTTGGGGATTTAGTGATTTGGGGAAAACGATTTTTGAGGTGAAGTTAGGGTTCTTCACTTCATGGGAGCAATTGATTTGGGAGGAGAAAAACAAAATTCACCCTTTGCATTTTGATCATCTGAAGTCATGTTTGATGAAATTGGTAAAGCATTGTTTGGCAAGAAGCTTTTTAATTTTGCTGGAGTGGAAGATGATTGGGCACACGACTTACCACTGAAAAGAAGTTAACTGGCCAGCTCATTTTCCCATTATCCACATAAGCATGTCTATTAACGAATTTTAACGGGTAAGTGATGGAGTTGGACATTAAGTTATGAAATATGATATTAAAAAAAATTCAAGAATTCTAACTGTGCCAATATTGTGATTTTTCTATCACAGGCAGATGATTAAATAATTTATTTTCAGTTGAAGAGAGAAGTTAGGAGCTTTTGACACGTGACAGTCCATGGCCAATAAAAAATGAATTACGCATCCATCACGTTGTTGAATCTCACATTATAAAGATGGGACTTTCCACTTGCTACTTTTAGATTTGTTTGTCTTCCATTATTTTAAAACATTGTTATTACAATAAGATTTTTCATCATACATTCATTCAATAAAATATTCTATACACAAATCAATATTCAATAATGTTATTTTAAATATCAAAAATCACACATTCTCTAAAAAATATTATTCATTACTCTATTTCTTCTACAATAATGAGATAAAAACAAGCACTTAAGGCCTTGTATAGGAGGGATTAAAATCGGATTAAAATTGAAAATATAGCCGTTATTGTTAACTTTTATTAGACGAGTGGGACCCAATAACGACCATATTTTCAATTTTAATTGTATTTTAATCTCTCCCAAACGGGGCCTTAATGTCCTAGTCAAAAGTCATTTTCTCTATTTTCACAAGCCTCTTTCTCACTTTTCCCAATCACACATATTTAGGGATGACAAAAAAGCTCATCGGCTCAGACTCGACTCGGAAAAAGCTTGAGCCGGGCCCGGCTCGGGCTCGGGTACAACCTCATTTTTTTGGCCGGACTTAGCTCGGCTCTGGAACTCAGGCCCAAAAAAGCTCGGCCCCAAAAAACTTGAGCCAAGCTCAAGCTTTTTTATTTAATTTATAGTACATATAAACCGTACAAATTTTAAATTTTTTAAGCAAAAATATAGATTTAGCATTAAAAAAAACCCAAAAGGCTCGGTCTGGGCTCGGCTGGCTCGCTAAGGCTCGGACAGAAAGTTCGGGCAGAGCTTCTTTTTTTTTTGCCGAACTTAGCTCGACTCGATCAGGGCCCAAAAAAGCTCGACCTAAAAAATCTCGAGTGGAGCCCGAGCTTTTTTTTTTTTGGGGCTCGGGCTCGGCTCGACTGGACTCGTTGACACAGCTACACATATTGGACTTTTGAAGGTGTTGAAAATTCAAGATAATATAAAATTATAGTTTAGGAATTTTTGGTGGAAAAAAATAGGAAGTTAGTTGGAAAATAATTCATCTTCTCAACTTCAAGTCAATATTTCATGATGGAAGACTAAGAAGTGCAAAGTTTCAAACAGCAAGTCAAGAAATCATGAACAAGGGTTTTTTTTACGAATTTTCGAAGTCATTGCCTATGTTTGAGCTTTATTTTTCTCAAAATTCATTTTTTTAAAAAAACTCATTTTTAACTGCACATTTTCTCATAAAATAAGTTTACACGTAAATTCAATAAATTTCATAATTTTTTAATCACACATTTTTTCAAAAAATAACTATTTCAAAAATGGGGCTCGAGCAGGGGCATTATGTTTTACATTTTTAGTTTCTGTGAATTTTACATGTTACATCATGCCTCATTTAACACTTAAATTGTGTTTCATACTTAACAAAATTATATTGCAATAGAAATTTTTTTAATGTGGGAACACATTGTTGGTCTGCACTAATGTGTCGAACTATGTTTATATACTACTAGTGAGATGTGCGTGCCATAACATAGTTAACTTAACTACGTAATAGTAGAGAGATAAGAAAAAATTATTTGTGTTAAGCATTGATTACATCAAACATAAGCATATGTTGCTAAATGTTTAATGCTTTCCGAGTTGGAGAAAATTTGTCATATCTCACCTGATAGTGAAACGTAAGAAAAATGCTACTTGTACACATTTGGTACACAACCCTTTCACATGTGCGTAGGGTCCACAATGGGTAATTCGAAACATAAATATAGAGAGATAATTTGCATTACTCTGTTCAAAAAGAAAAGCATCTGTATGTAAAACTAATAGAGCAACCCTTTTTTCTTTAGGAAAAAATCATATGGACAAAAAATTTCATTACTGAAGATTTACAGATGGCAGCATCTGATTGGATCTGTTTTTTGTGCTTTTTGTCATGGACAAATGAAAAGTCGCCAAATGTGTATCTGTAAAAAAATCCATGAACTAAAATCTGTACCTCTAGCATTGTTCTTTTCTATAATGTCCTACACTTAAATTTGACATCAGATGGTGGACAATCATGAAGTTAAAAAAGAATACAAATTTTCTTTCCAACGTCTCACATTGCAAAATGGGATTAAAAAAATTCCTCAATGAATTCGTTAATTTTGGAATTACTGTGAACAAATTAAAATCCTAATAATCGGATGCACAAGAATAAACTTACCATACCATCGAACGATTCAACTGCATTGTTCACATCATCAGCAGAACGGCAAGTCATGAACCCGAAACCCGTTGATCTACCACTCTCTCCGTCATAAACCACCTTGGCATCCATAACCTTTCGTTGCTCACTAAAGAAGGTTTGAAGATGAAAATTCTCAACATCCCATGAAAGGTTTCCCACATAAACTCTGTTTTTATTATCAAAACTTGTCTCCCGTCCTCCCCTCGGTCCTCCGAATGAAGAATTTTCCCTCGAAGTGGAGGTCCACCATTCACTCTTAGTTGTCTGCCTTCAAATTCCTGATAAACATGGCAATTCTTGAATTTTATACTCAGTTTCAATAAAGAAACTCGAGACACTTGATGTACAAGTAGCATAACGGGTATGATTATCACAATTTAAAATTTAAAATGTAGATACAACTTCATATGTATACAATTTATAGAAGCCTATACATTATTGTACCCTTAAGTAGTACAAATGCTGGAAACTTACATATCCATTGAACTGTTGAGCAACACTTGGAGCGTCCTCTGCGGTACACATTGTAATGAAACCAAACCTTGTACTTTCCTCTGTAAACTTATCATAGATAACCTGCAAATTTCACTACTTAGCTAACAATCCATCACACAAAAGGAAAATAAGCAAATTTTTTGTCATTATAGGTTAAGAGATGAGCTGGTAAAATAAGTAGCCTTGCAATGAAAGATAAGAACATTTATATGCAGTGCATACATAACACACTCGATACACAACCACAGGGCCTTCAATATGCATACATCTATCCCATTAATATACAAAGAAATTGAAAATTCTACACAGATGCGAAGTAAAAAAATAAATTGCTTGGCATGAACAAAATCCCAATTCCGGAAATCTTATCCCCAAAATAACATTATTCTGAATTTTTTCAGCGTTAATTCACAACTGTCTTCCATACATCGAGCACCCAATCAAACAAAGGAGATTAA